GGTGGTGCTAATTTCGTAAATAAGTGATTTTTTTTTTACAAATGTGAAAAAGTGAAATAACTAAAGCTAGAAGTGCACCATAGTACTGAATAAGTGCATTTCGCACTTTTCACATACACATTAAAACATCTTTTTATTTGATCCTAACCTTGTAATAATACAAGGTGTATTAATATGTGTATCTGATTTTTTCACATACACATACTGAATATGTGTATCTGATTTTTTTATTCAAAGTAATTAATGCTAAAATACTAGAATAAAACAAATTATTGTATAATAAATGCTCCAAAGATACATCCGCCTTTAAAGGAGGATAGTGGACCAAATTGATATAATCATCTTTAAAGTGAACATCAATATCTCCGTTAGTTCTCCAAATCCTTGCTTAATTTCAATTATGCCACCCTCTAAAATCTAATTAGCACCGTAGAGATTTGGTTTTGGACGGCTGTGATTTATTCTTTTTTTCTCTCCTAAGCCACCGTTCTCACGGAAACCAACCCCTATATATATATATATATATATATATATATATATATATATATATATATATATATATATATATCGGTGTTGTTATGTTTATATATGGGTGCTAAAACATATGGCTAGCATGTCACTTTTTAATTGGAAGCTCACTATTATGCCCAAATTATGTCTTTTAATTGTATTTATTTTAGTTTCATTTTATTTGATTTAGACTCAAATTGAACCATACGATTTAAACTGCTTTCACTTTTCTAAAATGTTTTCAATTTTATAAACCGAACTAAAAACCGAATCAAACTGAACCATTTGCAAGCCGAACCGAAACCAAATCGAAGTTTATTTGGTTTTACTTTGGTACATTTTCCCTTGAACCGAATAAACCGAAACTGATACAAACCGAACCATAAACCGGTTTGCCTAGCCCTTGTATGGACATTAATAAAATTGATCATAAGGTTAGGATTGTGATGCTTCGTGACTAGGGTATTCATTTGGGATAGCCTTAGATGATTTAAATGATATATTGATCCCACGATTGGATTGCTGATGCTATTTTCCGGGAGGTCTTTAGAATACCCGTAATTGATCATTTGATTGGTAGCAAGGGTTATGGCTCGGCTCTAGTCTAAGGATAGATGCATGACCACAAGGATTTGTAAATGGATAAATGGGGGACATGGGCCGACCGAGTCTAAGGATCTTGCCTGACTACATGGACTCTACGGATTGAAATATTGATTATATGTAGTATATATATAGTTATCATTGTACTTCTCAAATGCTTTAAAGTACTTATCTCTCCTCATGGAGAGGCCACCTCATAGTTTTCAGGTAGAAGCTAGAGCTTGCTTCATGTGCACGTTGCTTCGGGAATTCGTGGAGAGAAGATGTGGTTCGTTCTTTCTCCGTTCTATTTTCAAAACAATAAATAAATATGCTCATGGGTATTATTTGACTTAAACTATTGAGGCTTGCGTGCTCATATTTGCCCTGTGTGACTTTTGATTTTCTAAGTACATTGGTTTCCGTTGCGTACTTGATTTACTTTACTTATGATTGTTTATGGATGATATATGTGTGAATGATTTTCATGATGCCTTGTGTGATATGAGCAAGGTTGACTTATTCAGATTGTATGGTGGTTGTTAGTGAGTCCGGGGAGGCCCTGGGCGTGACAAACCATGAATTTGCAGGCTTCAGATGAGGTATTATTGTATCTATCCCACCACCTATAGTTTGTCAAATTTTGTTTTTCATAGGTCATTCTGCTCTCATGTGACTAATGCATCAGTTAGTGTCACCGCCCTTATAGGGATCGCCGTCGTGCCCGGTGGTGACTGCCACCGCCCCTCGCCAAATAGCTCCACAACCCTCTTCACAACCCCAGCCCTCATCCCCCAGACCCCTTGTCAGTCCCCAACCCCCAGCTCTACCCTATCAGCCCACCCCAACACTCCACCCCACCTCGCCACCCACACCCTTGCTCCCCACCTCATGCATCGCCCCCATCTCCCACACCATCGTTGCCTACACCCTTCAGCCTCCTCCCCAGCCCTCACAGTGCCAGAAACCCTAGCAGTGGCGGAAGGAGAGTGGCGAGGCGTCCAATCGGAACCTGTAACCCTACCTACAGTGGCTGCAAATCTGCTTATTGCCGTCGCTTGATTAAATCTAGATGCGAAGATGATGATTCAATATTTGAGAAGAAGAAGATATAGTTGAAGAAGACAATTGGAAATATGAAGCTAGAGATGTCTTTATCTCCAATCTCATCGTCGTTGTTGAAGCTTCACCGTTATCATGGGTCCGTCACCGTGCCTCGCCATGAGTCTCGCGTCTGTCGCACGTTGTCCGCAGCACACTGTCAGATGTGAGAGTTGCTCTCGAGTTCCATGTTTTTAGCTCCCAGATCGTTGCGAAGAGGAAGGGACGAGAGAATTCCCAGATAGATGCGAAGGAGGAGGAGGAGGAGGAGAAAGGTAAAAGGGTTAGGGGTATTTTAGAAACTTCTTAATATTTCAATCTCTTTTTTGTCCTAAATAAAAAATTCTCCTATTTTTAACTAATTAAAAGCTAAGTGTAATACTCGAGATTGATTTAACAGGATTAATAGTACTACTCATACCAACAAGATTATCTCCTTTTAAGGGAGCTCATCAACTAAAAACTCCAAAGTTAAGCGTGGTTGCACGGGAGCAACCTTGGGATTGGTGATCCCCTAGGAAGTTTCTCGGGCCACGCACGAGTGAGGACAAAGTGCGCGTAAAATGCTAGTGGCAATTTGTGAGGACAATACTAGAGGTCGCGAGTAGGCTCATTTTCCCGCCCTAGGAGGGGTGCAAGGGGGGCGGGCCCCTAGGCCCTAAAAAAATGGATAAAAAATAGGCCCATGAATCGAGTAGGCTCATTTTCCCGCGCTACAATAATAATTTTTCGGGTGAAATTTGTTGAAGTTCTTCGGAATGGATTTTTTTGGGTAAAAACTTATGATCATGTTCTCTATGAAGTGTAGATTATGAAAAAAAATCAGCTTAAAGTTCAATTTAGAAGTCAGTTAAATAAATTATTGAAAAACACTATGTTTGTATACATATTTTGGTGCATTATTTTTCAGTAATTTATTTAACTGACTGCACGATTGAATTTTAAGATGAAATTTTATGGACATAATCTACACTTGATGAAAAACATTCTCTTAAAATTTCATATAAAAAAATTCACTTGAAAGCAGATTAGTCTCATATGATTATTTGATTAGTTTATTAATTGATTCCATTTATAGTTGATGGTTTGATTTCTTAATTGTTGATTGTTTGGTATTGAGTGTTGGTGTTATAACTTGTTGATTTTGTTAGACAAACATTTTCAATTATGCTAAATGTTATAAATTTAATTGATTTCAAAGTGTAATAAAAAGGATCAAATCTGAATAGGATAAATAAAAAAGAGGAGAAGATTAGAGAAAGCGGTGCCAAGTAAAAAAAAAGTTCAATGGAAAAGTTTATTTGTGTAAAAAAGTCAAATTCTGAATATCCTCTTCAAGATGAGAACTCATAAAATAACAAAAAATTAGCTACTAAAAATGAGACGATTCAAAATGATTACATAATTTAGGAGATGATAATAATATAGTTATTTCTTTAAATATGACTTAAACATTGATAAAATGTACAAATAAGATCACCATTGTTTAATTCCTTCCTAAATTACTAGTATTATGCATATCAATTTAGATAGAAAAAAGTTCTACGATTTTTTTGTAAAATTAGGTCCATTTTAATTATGCACCCTAGCTAGGGTACCTCCTCTGATTACAATGTTACACTTTTTGCACAAAAAAAAATGTTGTAGGCATGGATTTAAATACGAAAAGTGTAGCCTGTCAGAATTTTAAGAAAATCTATCATGTTATTTAATTAATCCCGAGTAAGATGCAACTAAAATCATGGCTAACGCGCTGATAGCGTGATGCCTCTAATGAATGCGAACGAGTATACATCATGACTCTAATCTATTATGATATCAACTTTGTCCCATCAAAGAATGAAAAGACTAACCAAAAGGCCTCAACATCGGTTTGGTTTTGACATATAACTAATAACTGCACCACCGAATTAAACACAGATATAAACATTTTACCTAAATATTTCGTTTGTTGGGGAGGCCAAGATTTTGTACATTATATTGTATCAATGCTAGGTAGGCGTATCTCGTAAATGTCAAATTCTACAAATGCAAAATATATCCGTATATAAAAGAGCAACACTATGCAATTTATCTTCATATTCCGTAATTAATTGGTACTTGGACATTTGGCACCACTGATTTACTCGTATTAAACACGTTATCATAAATTCATGATAAAATGTTTTAATGTTAAAACTAACAATTTAAACATCATCATAAAGTCATAAAGATACATAATGTAATAAAATATTGTGTATATCTGCCATTATTATGCCATGGTCTATTTCTAGCTACAATAGTACGTCATTTAAAATATATATAGAGCTCATTTAGTAACACTGAAATTGCCTGAATTGCCTTATTCTGCTAAAATTGATTAAATTCTAGATGAAGTGGTTGTATTGTCTGGTTCGGCTGGTCTATTAAAAAATTATATTTAAAATATTTGTTATTAATAAATAAAATAAAAAATTATATGAAAAAGTAGATAAATTGATATTTTACAGTAAATTCAACCAATACAGCCAGAAAAGTAACTTCAACATTACATTTTCTTATTATTTCAAAATTCAGGGCGTGAAATCAAAAGTTGCGTGTTTGATGAAAAAACTGACTGATAAGTCTGATAAGCTGAAAAAGAGGCTGCCAAACGGGCTCATAGTACCCTTACCCGGATAGATCGTGTTCTGCAAAATAATGCATTACGATTGCATCATAGTAATAAAAATGTTACGTTGTTTATTTAGAGAAATGGTCATAAGTAGGAGTTAAAACGTCCGTATATACTTAAATAGGACTCCGTCTTTTTTAACTCGTAAATAAGACTTCGTTTTTTCTTTATTCCACAACTGCCCCTATTTCCTAACCTTATCTTTCCTCCACGAGATTCCTTCTCTCGTCCACAATCTCGCCAAATATTCTCTCTCACTCCTTCCTTTATAGCCATATCATGCTGGCAGCTTCAAGATCCTACACCATACGAAACAAAGAAGGAGTTGATTGTTATTTGTACTGGCGTACTGGTGTTGTAGATGTGGTGATCGAGACAGATAAGATACGGCGATATGGCAACGTGGTGCCGACGGCTCAACAGAGAAAACGCAGCGGCGCGGCGGCTGTGGTGGGATGCCCTGTTGCGTTCTCTTCTCCCCTCTTCTTCTTCCCCTTCTTCTTCTTCTTCTACTTTTCTTCTTCTTCCCCTTCTTCTTCTTCTTCTTCTTCTACTTTTTCTCTTCATCTTCTCTTGGATAGATCTGGGAATTTTTTCTCTTGGTTAGATCTGGAAATTGTTCGCTGGCTGCTCCTTTCCCGGCCTACGTGATGTGTTTTTTTTTGGGAACTTATTGGGTTTTTATTGTTTTTAATATACCATGCGCCTGGTTCAATTCAGTGGTTCCTTTCGATCTATTTTATTGTTTTGTTGAATGGTATTCTACTTGTTTATGTAATTTCTTTTTTTGAGTTCTAGCTTTTTTTTTCTATTAAATATTTTTAGATAATATTTGATTCAAATGTCATTGTTAATGTAAGACTTTGATGTGTATTATCAGATAAATTTTACAATGATATCAACATGGTCACATAATTCATAATAGCTATGTTGATAAATGATTTTAACATTCTGACATTTTGTAATATATTGACATTCTTTTCAAAACAGTTTGATTTTAATGACATTGTTGTTATTTCACATTGTCACAATATTAGAAATGGCATTGTTACAATGTCATTTCTTTTATAACATTGTCATTGACATTGTATCTTTGTTACAATGTCATTTTTTATAACATTGTGCTTGACATTATATTTTCTTAAAATTTTGATACTGTTAACACTATTGTAACATTGTTTGTTTTGGAATTATTTATAATTATAATTATAATACATGACATTGTGAAATTTTCTGATATCAATGTTGACATTGTAAAAGTTTTCTGATTTCAATATTGACATTGTAATATTCACGATGTCATTTTTTCACAAAGTTCACAATAATGACATTCATTGGCATTGTTACAATGTCATTTTAATATCATTGTCATTGACATTGTGAGTATAACATTGTCATTGACATTGTGAATATAACATTTGTCATTTTTCATACTATTGATATTTAGAGGACTAATGGCGAGGTCGCCGGAGGAGCAGTGGCGGAGATCGCCGGAGGACCAGTGGCAAAGGTCACCGGAGGAACAGTGGCAAAGGTCACCAGAGGACCAGCTGCGAGGCCGTTGCGGTTAGAGAACCGGCTGCAGCCGGTCATGAGGTCGCCGGATAAGCTGTGGCGGCGGAGTTTGTTGGAGGACCGACGTCGGAGGTTGTATTTGGTGGGAGAGGTCTTTGTAGTGTTGGGGACAGAGGTCTCAGGAGGACCGGCGGCGGAGATCGACGAAGATCCGGCGGGCGGCATAGGTCCGGCAGGCGGCGGATGTCTGACGGCGGCAGGTGGCAGAGGTCCGGCAACGTTGGGGCGAGGTTCAGGGTGATAATCGGTGGTTTATTATAAGGCTTAACTATTTTTCTTCTCTAGTAAGCTTCTTACAAGGTGGGGGTATTTTTGTCTTTTAACATAAAAGTAGTCCTATTTAAGACTAAAAAAGTGTTACCTCCTATTTAAGTTCCGTGCTTATGTATTAGTCTTATTCAGGTCTTTTCCCCTTGTTTATTCTATCTTGCTGTGATCGACATACTATTGTATTATTTGTATAATGCCTAGCTACCTCATCCATTCCACATTATTTGTGCCACTTAGGTCTTGATGATTAAGTATTGCTAATTAAAAGTCATGGACAAAAATATTACGGAGTATTTAGTAACGAATACGGAGTATAATTTTGTTTAAATTTAATCACAGTAATTACATGTAAGTTACTACGATGTAAACTTTGAACACAATTTTAGTCACTAATAGTCACTAAGTAATATTTTTGTCCACCACATTATAAAGACTACTCCAAATTACAGTATGAGAAAGATGATATGTAACTTTTCGTGCAGAATTGGCACATAATTGATACGGATTGATCGATAATTTCGTGTCACCTAGCTAGGTATCACGTTATATTTGTGTACATGGACTCAGGGGCGGCCCTGGGGGGGTGCAGCAGGGGGGGGGGGGCCCTAGGCCCAAAAAAGTGTAAAAAAATTAGGCCCAATCTTAAGACTGTATTAAAAGTGAGTAGGCTGAGTTTTTTTGCCTATATCCACTAACTTCGTGCGGCATAGGGAAAAGACTTCTGAAGGCATAAACTTTTTTTCTAAAAAAAAACACGACTCTGTGCTAGGTTGGTGCCTAGCACTGAACCGTCATTTAGGCCCTCAGTGCTTCAAAGTTAACTTCTTGAGCTTTTTATCCTTCCTAATCCGAACATAGGATTCTAACTTCTGATAACCTGGAGTTGTTTATATCCTTTATTACTCTTAAGTCCTTGTATATTTTGCATTTATGCTCTACTTACTTATTTCAAGATCACTTATCATAGCTTTTCATCCTTTTTTAGTTTTCATTGAATTTACATTTTCGTTGATTGATCACCTAGTTTTTGACTCATTGATCGTGAAATCGCAAATTCACATTTATACTTCCTCCGTCCCGATTTGAGTTACAATTTTTGAATTTTAAGGTTTATGGATGATAAAATTAAATCATTCCGTGATAGTTTTAAAATTTTTTCAGTAGAAAAATGGATTTTCATTAAATTTATAAATAATAAATTTCAAGGTGTAACAAAAATGTTCTCTAACTATAATTTTACTTGCTTCATACGGTGAATTATAAAAGTCTTTTCTTTATTATACAATTTTCGAAGTATTATTTTTATGCATTAGATTAGACAAAAAATATTTTTTTATATTTTTTTTTATAAAATTAGGCCCATTATAAACTATTTGCCCCTAGGCCTTGAAACTATAAGGGCCGACCCTATACATGGTGCGGAGATATTATTATACCTCTAATAACTTACTCCCTCTGCCCCTTGTAACTTGCCAAATTTGATCGGTACGGAGAATAATAAAGTAATACTGTGTGATTGAGATTTTTGTAAAGGGGAGATAAATAACAAGAACCACAAATTAGTTGATTAAAAGAGAAAGTGACAAAATTTTTGGAACATTCCAAAACAGAAAGATGACAAAGTTTTAAGGAATAAGTATATGAAAAGTATACTTGTTCCATAAAGATCGTGTAGGAAAAGTATTTCCTTAAAGCAAGTGCCTAAAAAAACAATGTACATGCATGTTTAATAAGCTAGAATCAAATAGAGAAAGAACAAAGTACTAGGTAATATATTGAGCACACCAACATAGTGAGTGTGTTGGTGTGATGAATGATCAAGATGGATTCATCTAAAAAACAGTAAATCTTGACCATTCGTCAAGTCAACGTGCTCTGTAGTAGGTATGTTGGCGTACTTTATATATTCTCACAAAATGTAATTCCTCTGATATTTACTCGTCTTTTGACTTTCCATATAGATTAACAAAATGTAAATTGGTTATACGATTAGGAGTTTTGTAAAAAAGAAAGGAATATTAAAAATAACAAATTCGTTGCAAATGGAATTTATTTTGAGAAGGAAGTAAAATAAAAGTAGATAAATTTTTTAGGCGAAGGGATTACTAACTAACACCGACACAACACACCCCTTGTTAACTATATTTATTAAAAGAAATAAAAAGAAAAATGTACACAATGTATAAGAGAGTATCAAAGAACAAAATAGTAGGTAAATACGTACGTACTACCTAATAATACTCGTATAATTATATATACATGCATAAGCAAGTAAGCAGATCGGGTTAAGAATAAAAGACAACAAGGTACTAGCTAACACCAACACAACACACCCCTAATTAACTATACATATTATAGGTGACAATGGATGGCCCTCGAAAACCAACTGTGGTAAGTGGCGGTTCTAAACTCTAAACATGTACACGAGACCTGCTTTATATTTGATTTTGTATGACAGTCAGCAAATAATGGCTTATTTATTAAGGGGAGCTAGAGAGGTCCACCCTAAATGTGATTAATTAGCTAATCCAAGAGCTTGATTAGATATCAAGTATGTTTTACTTGGACTGAAATTTTATAGTCTGGTCTAGTTTGGTCTGGTTTGATCTGATACTCAGGTATGATATGATCAGTTTAAGTATAATCTGATCTGATATGGTATGATCTGATCTGGTCTGGTCTGATCTGAGACTGAAATAAGTTCGTAAAGACATCCCAAATTCCATAGAATAACGTCATATATAGTCAAGAGGATGATGATTTGTATAAAAGTAATTGTCCATAATATGACTAAACATTAAATTTCTACTCTTAATATAATATCTCTAGTCAAATCAATTAATACAATTAATTGTCCCTTAGTTCCCTTGGATAACTGGGTCAGTCTGTTGGTGGCGGGCAGTCCGATGATGATAACGACGGCTGCGGCGACCTGCAGCATCAGACTGGTGGATAAAGCATTCTAGAAATTTTCGGCAGAAACTGGCGCCTAGCGGCAGATCGGGCAGTTGCGGTGGCAGATCAGACGGTGGAGGCGGCCGGCGTGAGCTTCGGCAGCAACTCCCCCATGGGTATTCTTGTGGAAGCTTTAAAAAATATTCCTATTTTGAGAAGTTTGGAAATATGTTCGTGCTTTTGCACTCCTTCCATATTTTACTCCTAGCTATTTGAGGAGTTATCACTCCTTATAACTCAATAATGAGCAAAGATTATATGTATACATAATACATGTTGCACAAAGGGAAAGAACTAGCTAACAAGCTAACTACAACTATGGAGTGATAAGACCATGAGTCACAACTTATAATAATTATACAAAACATGTATGTGTATATATCTACCAAATAATAACTAACAAATGTATACATGATAATATGACAAGCTTTTTTGTGTGGAAGAAAGTGACTTACATTGAAATATCAGAATTCAGGCGGCAATTAACAAGAAAAAAAAAGTCCACACCCAACTGTCATCCCTCTAACCAGACTTAGAGTCAATCACTATTTTGAAAAGCAATAGGACTCGTTGATCCTGTAATGGGAATAATTGAGCCAAAGACGGTCAAAACAGAAATTCCATCACTCGACCTAAACTCAATAGTCAGACCAGAAAAAAAACATAAACACAACCAAATACTCAAATAGCGCCCTAACAAAAATAAAAAACGATAAGAAAAACATAGCAAGTAGAGGGAGCCTGCCTCCCCAAAATCACGAGGAGTAGTAGTTGGCCCTCACGAGAAGCAGCAACTCTCAAAGACTCCGGCTGATAGCCAGCACCCGCCCCTATGCCATTTTTTGGCTCATCAAGAGCCATTTCATCTTCATTCTGCATCAGTTTCTCCTGCTCTTCCTCCCACGTCTTTCTCCTCTTCATTTTATGGTACTGTGATTGGCCAGCCCTGATTCCCTTCCACTTTCTGTCTAGCTGCCAGTCCGTCGTGTCTTGCCCATTGTTCTAAAAATCGGCCTAGGCAGACCGATTAATCGGCCTAGGCGGACCGATTAATCGGCCTAGGCGGACCGATTAATCGGCCTAGGCGGACCGATTAATCGGCCTAGTCGGCCCTAACTGTAAAGGTCTAGTTGGTCTAATTGGTCAAAGAATCGGCCTAGTCGGCCAAAAAATCGACCTAGTCGGTTGCCTAGGCAGGCGTAAGGAGCCCCTCAACCGCCCAACTGACGCCTAGTGAGTTTTAGAACAATGGTCTTGCCTATGCCCAAACTGCTTGTAGCCCATTTTAGTCGATGAAGACCCCTCTTGAACAAGCCATTTGTTAGAAACTGTGGGACATGTTTCCTTCCTTCCGCTCTAGGCCATAGCCTAAAAGCTTTCTCTAGAGTCAAATCCCCTTTTGCTTATGTCAATGGACATAAATTATTTACATGACCAATGAATCCACACACAAAGCAGAAACTAGACAATTTTGCATTTTTAAAATCCACCCAATATCCATTTCCCTTACCATTTCAGACTGTAGTTCCAATCATTAAAGATTTTTCCAAGTCTAATCAGACTCTTATACGCATATATGCTTCCCCCTTTTGGTCAAATTGACTTTCATCCAGAATTTATAAATATCTCCACAAAGTTACCAATTCTTTTTTCTACCTCTAAACGCTAAAGTTATGTAGCCATATCACACATTATGCACCTGAAGCCAAATTAAAATTCTTTGTATTTAAAGAGAACCTCATAGGAATATCCTCCAGTTTTATCGCCTTTGAAACCACTAGATTTTGTTCAAACAGCCATGGGTCATTCTCCAAAACATGATTCATATCAACTATATGATAAAAAGTGAAGAGATACCTCTTATCTCCGATTTGCCCGATCAAGACTCCTCTACTCGGACACCATATTGAAGCTATTAGATCTTTGAAAATCTGGAATTTCACCATTTTGTCGGTGATAATCGTTCCCACTACCGGAAAACTTTCCTTGTCATCAACCTGTTGTGTGTCAACTTCACCCTCCCGATCAAAAAACCAACCCATTTTCCTTTCCACCAATATAAATCTAGCTTGTTGTATTGATTAACCATATTCTCTGGCCATGATGATTGACGGAGAAACACTGCTCAAACCTTGCGCTTCACTTTGCGTTGAATCGGCACGATCAAACTACCACCGCACCAGCCACTTGAGGCTTAGCTTGCGGAAGACCTAAACCCTAACTCTAGGGAGAGACCACATTTATATTGG